GGCCACAATGGAGGATCAAAGTTTTACATAGAAATATATAGGAAAAATCTTTAAAAATCTTCTTCTCAATAACAGCAAAGCCCTAATTGGTCATATTTATATGAAAGCATCCTCAGGAAGTGTAGATTCAAGTTTGTCCAAATCATGACCCCTGTTGGTAGGGCGGGGCCACAATGGAGGATCAAAGTTTTACATAGGAATATATAGGAAAAATCTTTAAAAATCTTCTTCTCAGGAACAGCAAAGCCCTGATTGGTAATATTTATATGAAAGCATCCTCAGGTAGTGTAGATTCAAGTTTGTTCAAATCATGACCCCCGGGGGTAGGGCTGGGCCACAATGGTGGATCAAAGTTTTACAAAGAAATATATAGGAAAAATCTTTAAAAATCTTCTTCTCAGGAACAGCAAAGTCCTGATTGATCATATTTATGTGGAAGTATCCTCAGGTAGTGTAGATTCAAGTTTATTCAAATCATGACCCCCGGGGGTAGGGCGGGGCCACAGTGGAGGATCAAAATTATACATAGAAATATATAGGAAAAACCTTTAAAAATCTTCTTCTCAAGAACAGCAAAGCCATGATGAGTCATATTTATGTGGAAGTATCCTCAGGTAGTGTAGATTCAAGTTTGTTCAAATCAAGACCCCCGGGGATAGGGCGGGGCCACAATGGAGGATCAAAGTTTTACATAGAAATATATAGGAAAAACCTTTAAAAATCTTCTTCTCAAGAACAGCAAAGCCATGATGAGTCATATTTATATGGAAGCTTCCTCAGGTAGTGTAGGTTCAAGTTTGTTCAAATCAAGACCCCCGGGGGTAGGGCGGGGCCACAATGGAGGATCAAAGTTTTACATAGAAATATATAGGAAAAATCTTTAAAAATCTTCTTCTCAGGAACAGCAAAGTCCTGATTGATCATATTTATGTGGAAGTATCGTCAGGTAGTGTAGATTCAAGTTTATTCAAATCATGACCCCCGGGGGTAGGGCGGGGCCACAGTGGAGGATCAAAATTTTACATAGAAATATATAGGAAAAACCTTTAAAAATCTTCTTCTCAAGAACAGCAAAGCCATGATGAGTCATATTTATATGGAAGCTTCCTCAGGTAGTGTAGGTTCAAGTTTGTTCAAATCATGACCCCCGGGGGTAGGGCGGGGCCACAATGGAGGATCAAAGTTTTACAAAGAAATATATAGGAAAAATCTTTAAAAATCTTCTTCTCAGGAACAGCAAAGTCCTGATTGATCATATTTATGTGGAAGTATCCTCAGGTAGTGTAGATTCAAGTTTATTTAAATCATGACCCCCGGGGGTAGGGCGGGGCCACAGTGGAGGATCAAAATTTTACATAGAAATATATAGGAAAAACCTTTAAAAATCTTCTTCTCAAGAACAGCAAAGCCATGATGAGTCATATTTATGTGGAAGTATCCTCAGGTAGTGTAGATTCAAGTTTGTTCTAATCATGACCCCCCGGGGGTAGGGCGTGGCCACAATGGAGGATCAAAGTTTTACAAAGAAATATATAGGAAAAATCTTTAAAAATCTTCTTCTCAGGAACAGCAAAGTCCTGATTGATCATATTTATGTGGAAGTATCCTCAGGTAGTGTAGATTCAAGTTTATTCAAATCATGACCCCCGGGGGTAGGGCGGGGCCACAGTGGAGGATCAAAATTTTACATAGAAATATATAGGAAAAACCTTTAAAAATCTTCTTCTCAAGAACAGCAAAGCCATGATGAGTCATATTTATATGGAAGCTTCCTCAGGTAGTGTAGGTTCAAGTTTGTTCAAATCAAGACCCCCGGGGGTAGGGCGGGGCCACAATGGAGGATCAAAGTTTTACATAGAAATATATAGGAAAAACCTTTAAAAATCTTCTTCTCAATAACAGCAAAGCCCTAATTGGTCATATTTATATGGAAGCATCCTCAGGTAGTGTAGATTCAAGTTTGTCCAAATCATGACCCCTGGGGGTAGGGCGGGGCCACAATGGAGGATCAAAGTTTTACATAGAAATATATAGGAAAAATCTTTAAAAAACATTCTTCTCAATAACAGCAAAGCCCTAATTGGTAATATTTATATGAAAGCATCCTCAGGTAGTGTAGATTCAAGTTTGTTCAAATCATGACCCCCGGGGGTAGGGCGGGGCCACAATGGAGGATCAAAGTTTTACAAAGAAATATATAGGAAAAATCTTTAAAAATCTTCTTCTCAGGAACAGCAAAGTCCTGATTGATCATATTTATGTGGAAGTATCCTCAGGTAGTGTAGATTCAAGTTTATTCAAATCATGACCCCCGGGGGTAGGGCGGGGCCACAGTGGAGGATCAAAATTTTACATAGAAATATATAGGAAAAACCTTTAAAAATCTTCTTCTCAAGAACAGCAAAGCCATGATGAGTCATATTTATATGGAAGCTTCCTCAGGTAGTGTAGGTTCAAGTTTGTTCAAATCAAGACCCCCGGGGGTAGGGCGGGGCCACAATGGAGGATCAAAGTTTTACATAGAAATATATAGTAAAAACCTTTAAAAAACATTCTTCTCAATAACAGCAAAGCCCTAATTGGTCATATTTATATGGAAGCATCCTCAGGTAGTGTAGATTCAAGTTTGTCCAAATCATGACCCCTGGGGGTAGGGCGGGGCCACAATGGAGGATCAAAGTTTTACATAGAAATATATAGGAAAAATCTTTAAAAAACATTCTTCTCAATAACAGCAAAGCCCTAATTGGTAATATTTATATGAAAGCATCCTCAGGTAGTGTAGATTCAAGTTTGTTCAAATCATGACCCCCGGGGGTAGGGCGGGGCCACAGTGGAGGATCAAAGTTTTACATAGAAATATATAGGAAAAACCTTTAAAAATCTTCTTCTCAAGAACAGCAAAGCCATGATGAGTCATATTTATATGGAAGCATCCTCAGGTAGTGTAGATTCAAGTTTATTCAAATCATGACCCCCGGGGGTAGGGCGGGGCTACAATGGAGGATCAAAGTTTTACATAGAAATATATAGGAAAAACCTTTAAAAATCTTCTTCTCAAGAACAGCAAAGCCCTAATTGGTCATATTTATATTGCAGCATCCTCAGGTAGTGTAGATTCAAATTTGTCCAAATCATGGCCCCTAGGGGTAGGGCGGGGCCACAATGGAGGATCAAAGCTTTACATAGAAATATATAGGAAAAATCTTTAAAAATCTTCTTCTCAATAACAGCAAAGCCTTAATTGGTCATATTTATATGAAAGCATCCTCAGGTAGTGTAGATTCAAGTTTGTTCAAATCATGACCCCCGGGGGTAGGGCGGGGCCACAGTGGAGGATCAAAGTTTTACATAGAAATATATAGGAAAAATCTTTAAAAATCTTCTTCTCAAGAACAGCAAAGCCATGATGAGTCATATTTATATGGAAGCATCCTCAGGTAGTGTAGATTCAAGTTTGTTCAAACCATGACCCCCGGGGGTAGGGCGGGGCCACAATGGAGGATCAAAGTTTTACATAGAAATATGTAGGAAAAATCTTTAAAAATCTTCTTCTCAAGAACAGCAAAGCCATGATGAGTCATATTGATATGGAAGCATCCTCAGGTAGTGTAGATTCAAGTTTGTTCAAATGATGACCCCTGGGATAGGGAGGAGCCACAATGGGGGATCAAATTTTTACAGAGGAATATATGGGAATTTTTTTAAAAAATCTTCTCAAGTACAACAAAGCCATTTTTTTAAAACAAATTATATATTGACATGGAAGCATCATCAGGTAGTTTAAAATTCAAGCCCCCCCCCCCCCCCCCCCCCCCCCCCCCCCCCCCCCCCCCCCGGTAATCTTTTCAATACTGAACTGATTTGTGCTTTTGCCTTGCCAATGTGCTCAGGTGAGCGATGTGGCCCATGGGCCTCTTGTTTATATTCATATGAAGCAGAATTTGTCCAAAATCTTGTACGTGAAAAGAAGAAAACACTTGCTGTGGCCTTCAACTCGACATTTAGATATATCGACGATGTATTGTCAATTAACAATGGCTATTTTCATTCTTATGTTGATACGATATATCCTGGTGAGCTTGAGATAATAGATACCACAGAGTCTGACACATCTGTTTCATATTTGGATATTTTACTTGAAAAAGACGTTAATGGTAATCTAACAACCAAGCTTTATGATAAACGTGATGACTTTAACTTTTCAATCGTCAACTTCCATTACTTATGCAGCAATATACCTTCATCACCTGCATACGGGGTATATATCTCTCAGTTGATTCGATACGCAAGAGCATGCTCTACGTATGAACAATTTCTAAAACGAGGTAAATTATTGACAAAAAAGTTGATGAAACAAGAATATCAGCTGTCTCGTTTAAAGTCATCATTTCGTAAGTTCTATGGTCGATACAATGACCTTGTCAGCAAATACAATTTATCATTGATTCAAATGCTGACTGACGTTTTTCATATTAATTGTTAGGCCATTATTTACACACTGAATTGTCGACGGATTTTCCGTTATTTCCCGATCATGACAAGGAGCACACGGCGGGTGTGACCGGTCGGCAGGGGATGCTCACTCCTCCATGGCACCTGATCCCACCTCTGATGTTTAGAGGTCCGTGTTTGCTCTGCTCCTATTTTGTACTGTTTAATGAACTTTTGAGCTTGAATACTGTTCGTTATCTCCATATATTTCATTGGACAATATGACTATATATATGACTGACATTCTTTTTCATTTATTTAATTATTTGACAGACTGATTAAATATAAATTAAATATGGCTAATTACTTTATCATAAAAAAAAAATAATATCAGCTCTGGCTGCTTCTTTATCACGATGTTATAAATTATATGCAGTAGGCATCAAAGACTGAATGTTAATTCAATGATCGGTACGATCCCCAGGCAAGGTATACAAGATATACACAACGGCTGGTAACAATATGTCAATCAATTTTCAGTATCCAATCTCAGGCTTAATTTCATCTGATTGACAGGGGTTCACAGACCAGGTAAAATTGAGGGAGGTGCTTATTTCCTCCCCCTTTAAATTTTAAATGAAATAGATACATTAATGTGAAAGAAAAGCAATCTTGTATAAAATTTTTTTTGAGTTCTGTTGATATCTTAACTAATGTTTACAAATTGTATGAAGTAATCAACTGAGTCATAGTTCTGTGTTTAGCATTAGTGTACTGGACTCTGTCCTTTGTCGCTCTATGTCTGGGCTTCATGTTTGATTATGTTGTTGTGTTTTCAGTCAAAGCAATGAAGAGAATAGAGGAGATTCGAGTAAAAAGACAAAATCAATTCATTCTAAACAGGTAAGTAAACTCTCTCCCACCCAAAGAATAAGGACTGGTTTAAAACTATAAAAGTAATTTAATTGATTTTTCATGGATTTCAAAATGCACAAGGAAATCTAGACCATCAGTTAGATTTCAATCTTTATGTGCATGAAAATCAAAGGTAGGCTCATAATTGCACTCTGTGTTTTGAACAAAAGGAAATAAGTGAAAATAAAGGAAAATTATGTATTTATCAAAAATATGAAAATTTTACCTGGATCCATTGTATGTTCCAGATCAAAATTAAAGCTTGTTTCATTGTCATAAGTTTTTATTAAAAAAAACAAACAGCAATATGCAGAGAAATTTATGTGTCTACTTTGCTTTGTATGTCAAACAGGGGCCAGATTAGGTCTACACCTTATCTTGTTCTTTGGAATCTTAGTAATTCTGTGTGTGTAAAAGAGGTTTTGAAACTTTTTTTTTTAATCTTAAACATGAAACATTTTGGACAGACCAAGTAGAAGACTCTTTCTAAATCTGACAAACCAACAGCTCTCAAGAAATAAATTTAAAAATATCTGTATGTATCACATTCATAAATTAGTGCTGCTAAAATTAATGTTTATTATATACATGTATACATGTTTTGTATATGTAAATAATTTATATTTTGACCGAGATAATAAATTATAACTGAAATCAGTACTGATAATTAAATATGAATCCTGCTGATATAGGACACAGTATGGGAGTAAGTACAAAATAATGTCTCTGGTGATCTATTTGTGTGTAAATGCACAATTATGAATAGTTATTACACTTTTTTTAAATCTTAGAAAATAAAGACCTCAGATTTGAAAGAATAACTTTATTAGTTACATGCTGCTTTTGCTCTTCTACACCCTTAAAATTGATATTTTCAAAAAAAGTTTTGAAAGTTGCTTAAATACGAGTTGAATATATGAATGTGATAAATCATAAAATAATATGGCTTAAAGAAGAAAATATAACATCATTAATTTGTTACATTTCTGAATTTTTAACAGAAAAAGGCTGCAAAAAGACTTATTTCAGGGAGGGGGGATTTTCCAGCAGAAAATAGTGTTGTGTACTTGTGTAGAAATCTTTGAAAATCCCATTTCTTAATATCTTTATCTTTGTGAGCGTTGATGTTGTCTGAAAGAAAATGCCACTGAAAATTGATGTCTTCTGCAATGAAAAAGGTGAAGATAACGAACAGTGCAACTTTCTAAGAATTAAATACAGGAAAATGCACAAGTTTTTGATGTCACAATTAGCACTTAGGAAGTCTTATGAGGAAAACAATTTGTATAATCTTACTGCATAGCATTTGATCAATTTAGGAAGCATATGTTTTAACTTCTCACAATTTTATATTTTAGAAAAATTCAGGGCAAGATTTATACTGAAACCATACCTTCTTCTTAATGTTTTTTTTTTTAGAGAAATGATATATTTCAAAATATTTTTGATTCAAGAATTAATTTGGTGGTCAGGATCCAGCTTAAACACCTTAGACAATTCTACATGTAGAAGTGTATAAGGCATTAAAGACAGCATGATATTGTACAATCACATATTGACAACAAAATGTTCTCCTTCAGATTAAATAAGGGTAAAGAACTAAGGAAAGAAGCTGATGTAAAGGAGGTTAAAACAAACATACACTTAATCAGGGCACCAGCAGGTTAGTTTCCATTTCTCAACATGAAGTAAAACTTTAAATAACTCTTTGAAAAGGTATCTTAAGCATTTTGTGCAGTTGTAAATCAAAAAGATTCCAATCATTAAAAAAATCAAACATAGCTTATTGATTTCATATTTCTACAGCTCGAGCCAAAAAACTTGAGAAGAAGATGGTACAGGTCATACAGGAAGCAGATGATGAAGATATGGAAGAAGTATAGGGATCCAAGGAAGGTGGATCAAACAGGAGACAAGTGTTGAGATCATTACTGTTCACTGACAGAGACATTCTCAAGAATGACAAACTGTTATGTGACCTTGATTGTTTTACCTTGCATTGAAACTTGAAAGATTTTCCTTTTTGTACTTTTTGATGAAGTAACAATATTGTAAATCATTGGATTTAGAGTTAAAAAGGACAAAAATGTTGTCTGTTACTTTTTCAAATGTAGTACCGGTAATGTATAATAAACTGAAAAGGAAGTTTCAGACATTTTTATTTATTTATTATTGAACATGTTTTACAGTTAGTTCTTGTACACATATAATACACTTTTGACTTGGACAGAATATTATTATCAAATTTATGTGACATGATCCTTATCAACACTAACTTAGGAATCATGATGCCATTTTTATGAACACTTTCTTAGAGTAGATCCATTTCTAGCATGAAGAGGATCATTTGGTAGAAACTCAATATCTAAATGTGTTTAAGGATGGATTCTTCTCATATTTCTTATAATGGCAGAATCTTGATTTTCTGAATACTCAATATTCAGACTGTTTACACTCTTTTAACATCCAAAAACTTTGGTGTCATCGGCCTTGATTTTCAGTCAAGGTCATTTGAAAGTCACTCCTAAAAATAGTACTTTTACACAGAGAAGTTTTGAAATTTATGCATATGAATAAATTTTGCTGACTGAAAAAATATCTTTCAAAATAAAATTAAAGTTGTTACTTATTTTTGATGACTAATTCATATGAAATGAGCTGGTGAAAAGATAACATGAAATCCTTTATATTCAATAAATATATTTAATCCGAATTTCCTCGATATTTTTTCAAAATTCTCAGTTTTTATGAATTCACATGAAATTTCATCTCAATTTTTACAACTGACCATATAATGTCAAATATTTAGATTTTTGTCTGATGAATATTCAAAGGTTCAAGATTAATTTACAAGGTAAAAAAGATATAGTAATCAGGCAAATTATCGAAAAAAAATTAGCCCGAATTTGCTCTATACTTTCTGAAATCTTCATTTTACAGAGTGTTTTAAATGTCTATAAAAAAGATTTTTAATCCCCCAAAACATATCAATTTGGTGTAATTGTGACATAAATACATTCATTTCTCCCAGTTATACATTATATTTTTATGGTATTTTACACTAATGATATTCAAAATATTCATTTCGAATTTCCTCTGTCATTTTATTCTTATGAATTTTATGTTTGACAATTTTATAAAATACATCAATTTTCTAGTGGCAATTACAGAAAAATTATCACATACATTCTTCACATGCACAGGACTAATTCAAAGCAACTTAACCTTTAATATAACCAGGAATAAATAATAAACCTTCCAAAAAGTTATGAGAAAAATCATACATAAAATTTTCATAGACTAGAAAAGATTTCAATACATTATTTATGACATAAACATGAAATCAATATACATGTATAGTGAACATGCCATTCAAAGCTTAATATATGAATATCAGAGGGACTAATATATATGCCTATACATGTATATGTAGTTATATACATATAGGTCCCTGGTATTATGTTATTATTGGATATTTTACATTTGTAAACTGAGTTTTGAAAACAACAAGCAAATTCAAAGAATTGTGGTCCCCCGCTTTCGATGTCTTAGTGGATGGGATGCCATTATTTATGGCATATTTTAACTGTCTTGTTTGTTTGTCCTGTCTTATCTGTGCATCATAGAAAAAAACATAAATTATTGAATTAATAACAGTTATGGCAAAGACTATAGCTTCTCAAAACTACATCAAACTTCAAGATCAAGGTCATGAGGTCAAATATCATAATAAAACCCAAAAGATCTTCTCACAAGTGATGCACATGTAAAAAAAAAATATCAGAAACCAGAGTATACAATCAGAAAGGTTTTGAAACAGGTAATGCACATGTCAAATGTAAATACCATCTCTTCTCTCAATCAAATGTTATTAGCAATGATAAACTTTTTAAAAATTAGGTCAAACTTCAAGGTCAAGGTCATGGGATTAAAAATCTTTGTACATTTGGAAATGCTTGTCACAGGTAATGCACTTGTCAAATATGAATGCCCTATCTTTGCTCCTTCAAAAGTTAGCAAACTGATGAAATGTTTGAAAATTAGGTCAAACTGAAAGGTCAAGGTCACGGGGTCAAATATCATAGCATATTCAGAAACATTTTGACACAGGTAATGCACTTGTCAAATATGAACACCCTATCATATGTCATTCAAAAGTAATCACCAAATATAAAATTTTTGAAATTTAGGTCAAACATGAAGGTCAAGGTAAAGGGGTCAAAAATTATAGCATGCTTGGAAACACTTTGTCACTACTAATGCACATGTAAAATATGAAAGCCCTAACTATTCTAAATCAAAAGTTATAAGCAAAGATAAAAATTTTGAAAAGTAGGTCAAACTTCAAGGTAATGGTCATGGGGTCAAAAATCATAGTACACTTGGAAAGGTATTCTTACAGGTAATGTTCATATTTAATATGAAAGCCCTATCTTTTCTCATTTAAATTTAATGACCAATTTAAAGAAATGTTAATTTTCTAAAAAGTAGGTCATACTTCAAGGTCAAGGTCACGGGGTCAAAAGTCATAGTATAATTTCAAAAGGTCTTGTCACAGGTAATAAACAGGCATAATATGAAAGTCCTATCTTTTCTCATTCAAAAGTTATGACCAATTTAAGGTAATGTTAATAAACAGGCATAATATGAAAGTCCTATCTTTTCTCATACAAAAGTTATGACCAATTTAAGGTAATGTTAATTTTTTGAAAAGTAGGTCAAACTTCAAGGCCAAGGCCACGGGGTCAAAATTCACAGTATATTTGGAAAGGTCTTGTTACAGGAAATGTACATGTGAAATACAAAAGCCCAATCTCTTCTCTCTCAAAAGTTATGGCCAAGGTTAAAGTTTTTGTGACAGACAGCCCGACAGATGAATGAGATTTAATGTCCCCTCTCTTTCGCGAAAGCGAGGGACAATAAATACCTACACACATTTATAAGTATATAGTTTGTTCAGCAACAATAAATATATTTCGTAAATATTGCGTAAAATTTGCTGGAGTTTTAAGATAACAAAAAAACCATCTATGACAATCATATGCCCTTTGACATCTTTGCCTGAAAATGACATCCTTGAACTTTGTAACAATAATATGCATGCAGCTATCAAACTTAATTTCACATTTAGATACAAAATACTTATTCAAGGATGAAATTTCTTTTTAAGAATTTGTAACACAAACATTTATTGATCAGTGTCAATAACTTAAAAATTACCTCTTGAGGGTTTCTACTGCAAGTACATGTATGTAGTTCATTTGTAAAAATCTAAATTTTAACCCGGCCACTACCAGCAATTTTGTTCGGCATGCTCTTGCTTAAAATCACCCTTTAACTAAATGATCTAAAGCAGGCACATTTTTATGTATTCCAGAACTGTATTTTAAGATTTTAACTGTATTTGAAAATGTAAAGCAACTGAATACATAGAGCTAGGTATATATCATTTACAAGTTGTTGTAATGCCAGTACATGTAAATCTTCACATTGTAATCTAATGAAAGATAATGCTTGAAAAATTCACTCTGGGAGTAAGATTTCAAATCTGAATCAAAGATTTTGTAAAGTAATCACATTCTACAAAGTGTGCACTGTATCGGGTACTTGGGAATCAAATAATTAAACATTATATAATTATAAATAAAACTATTTTTGACTGAAAGTTTCTGAAAAAAATCAAGAATGGAATCATGCAACAAGCAGCAGTGACTATGATAACATGCATTGACTTCCACATTTCTACAAAAACATTTCTTTGATCAGATAAATTATATGTAATTCCTGCTTCTGATCTGTGATATATTCTGAGAAAATCTCTTTTCCACACACAGCCATCATTCATTTGATGTGAGAATTTCTTGCTGAACATGTGTCCACCTGATGAAAGTCCAAATTTTTTGTTGACCTATAATTTTAAAAAAAAAAGTAATATATTTTACATAGCAACACAGATGCTGCATTACATGATAGTTAGATAAAGTTGTGTCCATATTTCTTATAGATGTACATCAGTAGTCCATCTGCCAGCACTCCTTGCTCAATCATCCTGCATTCTGACCTCCAGTCTTTTTTCTAGTCTAGGGTAAAGTAGGGTTGATTTTCTCCTAAGAATTAAACATGAACATCCCTTAGACTATTTTTTTAAATTAATGGAAATTGATTATAAGATTAAACAACTTATCTCATCTGTATTTCATTCATTGATTTAAATGAATGAAGATATTTTAATAGATTCTACCATATGCATAATGTCTTATATTATAATGTATTGGATATAAATAAATAGACATTTTTTATCCTAAAAGTACAGAAAAGTAAAAAAAAAAAACAATAATATAAATAGTTTTTTAACAATAATGTTTCATTTTGCTCTATTTATTAGACAATTGTGTGTTTCAATATTATTGATATTTCCACATGTACAATATCAAGTTATTTTTCCGTTTGATTTGTACCCAAGCGGGACACCTTACTTTTCTAATAACTTGATGATTGTTGTGTCTTGAACAAAGTAGGCTAGTTAAAAATATAAAATTTGTTGTAATCATATACAAAAAAATGCTATTTTTGTGAATTATAATTCATAAACCTGGCGAACACACGAAATATATCCTCTTCAAATGTTGACAAGTCGCGGGAATAAGCAGACGAAATATTGATAACAGGACTATAATTTCCGTGCGAATTCCCATAAATCAATACAAACCAGCATGTAATTGAATTCAATTTCAAAATTATAAAAATCTTCAGACATATATAACTAACTTACATGCTCACTGCACACGACATGACTTCAGACGAGGCAACGTGGATCTGCAATCTTGCACATGTTTGTGAATTTCAAGTTCAAGCTTCCCTTTTGGCTGATCGGAATTTCCCGGGCATAAATAACTATGATTTAATTTGTCATAACTGTCCATGGGCTTCTGCAATGCTTCGATAATGTTCACAGTTTGTAGATTTTACAAAATAACCCTCTCGGGTTTTCTACGGAAAATGATCTAGACATGTTGACATTCGCTACCGAACTGCGAATATTATGGCGATTGTCGCAAATCAAAGAAAATATTACGAAAAATTTATTAATTTCAAAAGATATAGATTCAACATTACTTAAACTGACAAATTAACTAATAGTTTTTCCTTCA